AGATTTCTATCAATACAACTACAAATATAAAGCACTCTACAAAAATAAAGGGAGATTTAAATAATTAAAAAGATATTCAGTGTTCATGATTGATCTATGCCACCAGAATAAAAATGATACTACCTAAATTAATTTACATATTTAATGCTATACCAAATTACTAAGGGAATAGCTTATAGAACTAGGCAAATTAATAATAAAATCCATTTGAAAGACCAAAAGGTCTGGCATAAATATGGAAATAATGAGAAAAAGTATGAATAAAGAAGACATATAATTACTATATCCCAGACCATATTATAAAGCACTGGTCATTAAAACTATTTGGCACTGGTTAAAAAAAAACAACACTGAAAAGTAGATCAGTAGAACATACTAGACAATCAAGTAACAGAAGCAACTGAAAACAGTAGCTCAGTATTTGATAAACCCAAGAAAATAAATTTTTGTGAAAAGAATTCCCTTTCTGACAAGAATTCTTGGGAAAAAATTTGACAAAAATTACGTTTAGACTAATATCTTGGACAAATACTACAAAAGCTCAAAACGGATATTCAATCTAAATGTGAAAGGTCACATAATAGAAAATAAAATTTAAAAATGAAATCAAGTACCTTTCATACTATGAGAAGAACTCAACTAAATAAGGGATAAAGGAGATCATAAAAGATAAGATGAACAACTTTCACTACTTAAAATTAAAAGGTTTTTGGGGCAGCTAGGTGGCACAGTGGATAGAGCACCGGCTCTGGATTCAGAAGGACCTGAGTTCAAATTCAGCCTCAGACACATAACACTTACTAGCTATGTGACCCTGGGCAAGTCACTTAAACCCACTGCCTAGCCAAAAAAAAAAATTAAAAGGTTTTTACACAAATAAAATCAATGAAGATAGAACAAGAAGAAAAACTATTGGTGGGGAAAGTATTTACAGCAAATATCACTTAAAAAAAAAAGGTCTGAAATCCAATATATAGAAGAAACTGACACAAACATCTAATTATCATTAAATTTCCTAATACGTCAAACAATATGAACAATTTTCAAATGATGAATCATAAACTTTGACCACATGAAAATAGCCTCTTGCTAATAGTGAGAAGAAATACAAATTAAAACAACTCTGAGGTTTCAGCTCTTACAAGGCAAAAATGGCAAAGATGATAAAAGATAAAAATAGTCAGTGTTGGAAGGGTGGTAGGAAGACAGGCACACTGGTGGAGACCTGGGAAGTGGTCCAACCACTCTGGATATCGATATCATCATCATCATCATCATCTTCCTCCTCTTCCTCATCATCATTGCTAGCATTTATATAATGCTTACCATGTGCCAGGCACCGTGCTAAATGCCTTCCAACAACCCTTGGAGGTAGGTACTATTATTATTCCAATTTTACAGCTGAGAAAACTAAGGCAGACAGAGCAGAGGTTAATTGACTTACCCATGGTCACTTTAGTGTCTGAAGCCAGATTTGAACTAAGTTCTTCCTGATTCTCAAGCCATGCATTGCATCTGCTGTGCCACCTAGCTGCCTATTTGGAATTATACAAGAAAAGGGACAGAAACGTCTCTCCCTTTGAATCAGTTTTCCCAAATACTCGGCGCACAACCCCGTGGAATCAAAGATGAAAACAAAGAATCAACATATACCAAAATATTCATGGCAGCACTCTTTGTCATCTCAAGAAACTAGAAACAAAATGGGTACCTATCTATTAGAAATGGTTGAAAAACCTAAGGTATATGAAAGTAATGGAATATTACTGTTCAATATAAAATGGTTAAAATAGAAGCATGGAAAGATCTTTACAAACTGACAGAGCAAAATAAAAACTAAGGAAAATATACACATTACATATATATACATTTACAACAATGTAAATTAAAAGATCACAAAAAGTCACTGAAAAGTCAAAGACAGTCCAACAGAGCTACTATTCAAATACACCTCTGGCTCATGGCAGAAACGTAAGGAACAACTAGGACAGAATATTGTAGACATTAACAGATGGGATCACTTTATTGGATGTTTTTGCTTATTTTCCTTTTCACAAGGGAGGGGTAAACTGACTAACATAAAAGCCAAAGATTGATAATAGGTATTATTCTAAAAAGAAGAAAGGACATCATTAGACTAGACGCAGGAGTGGAGAACCTGCGGCCTCGAGGTTACACTCCCCACCATTGGGAGGTGATCTTGGAAGTCTGATATTCTGAACCTATTAGGTAACCATTACAACGCATAATCTTTTCAGAATGCATTAGATGTAGCTCACCTCCTACTTTCTGGAAGCAACTAGATACTAAGCATAATTTGATATTTATATTTTAATATATTTTGCATATGCTTATGTACATGTTTTCCCCAACAGAACGTAAGGTCCCTGAAGCCAGGACTGTTTTCTTTTTCTCTTTCCATCTATAGCACTTAGCACAGTGCTATTACACAGCAGGCACTTAATAAATGCTTGTCTGATTCAGTAAGATCCTGGAGTAATTAAAGATCAAAGTAATTAGAAAAAGGATAAAGATGAGTAAATACTATATGGATTTACAACAATTCCAACCTAACATATTTAAATAAGCTGTTAGCTCTGAAAAAATGAAAAACAGAGTTGGTCGATTGCTGGATATGGAATTATGAAAACCCAAGTTCAATACCTGCCTTAGACATTTATTAGCTGTGTGATCCTGGGAAAATCACTTTGTGCCTAAAGTTCCCACATCTGGAAAATGGGGGCAGTAACAGCACCTACCTCACAAGATTCTTGTGAAGATCAAATGTGTTAATATGTAAAGGATTTGCAAACCCTAAAGGACTTTTATTGTAGATAAAACTAAAGATATGAACAGATTAGCACCATTCTTAGAGAAATCTAATTGATATAAAATAATCACCAAAACAATAAAGCCAGAAAGCTTACAAACAAAGCCAGGAAACACTCAAGCTCCTTGCCAAGCAGAGACATGGCAGTCAAGTAATACAGGAGCATTTGCAAATTCTTAGGAAGAACTGAAGATTAGCTCAGAAAACACTGTGAAAGCCTTAGAGAAAAGGAGCCTACAGAAATCCTGATGTGAGACTCAAATAAAAAACATCATTTCCAAGAGCATTTTACAAAACACGGAGGGAAACAAATATAAATAAAATGGAACATATCTGCCAGCATTTTTTACAGAAATATATTCTCGTAATCAATTACAATGGAACTACCATATATGAACTCTAACTCCGTATCAGATGTGCTGGTACTGAGATGTAAACAGCACTCAGGAAAATGAAGTTCTTAAAAAAAGCTGTACTCGAACCAATAAAATAAATAATGAAAGCTACACAATTTTAAAGATAATCTGGAGAAGTTATTCATGATATCTCAAAAAAAAAAGATTCCTTAAAAAAACTGAAAGATTGTAAATGGTATAACAATTCAAAAGAACTAAACTAAGAAGTCATCGGCAACTACTAAATTACATGCCTAATTTCTCAACCCTACAGAATCTTTGCTATAGCCACACTTTTTTTTTTGTGATAGCAAAGAACTGAAAAACAAAGTAAACCGAAATGCTACTACTGAGACAGTTAGCTGGCCGAAAGGATAGGGGGCTGAGTCCAGAGTCAGGAAGACCTGAGTTCAAATGCAACCTCAGACACTTAAGAGCTATGTGACTCTGGGCAAGTCACTTAACCTGTCTGCCTCAGCTTCCTCAACTGTAAAACATGGATAATAATACCATCTATCTTCCAGTTGTGAGGATTAACTGAGATAATATTGGTAACAAGCTTTGGCCAAGAGAAAAGATAATTTAATAGGGATATCTGAAGGCTGTCATATGGAAGAAGGATCAGGCTTGTCTTGCTTAATTGGTGGATAGAACTAGAAGAAATGAGTAGAATTTGGAAAGAGGCAGATTCCATCTCTGTAAAACGGGGGGGGGGGGGGAATCACAAACTTTTTAAATTAAAGCTATCCAAAACCAGAATGGATTGCCTTGGGCTGCTCAAATAGAAGCTGGATGACCATTTTTCAGGTAGGTTATGGGGGGGTTCTAGCTCAGGCGAGGTTTCACCTACATATTGTCTACCTGTAGCTCTGATATTCCACGTCTTTGCCACACAGCTGCAGAGAACTAATCACTTAATCTCCTTACGCCTCATTTTCTCATGAGAGGGCTGGACTAGAAGACCTCTAAGACTACATCCAGCTTTAAATCTATGCACCATATGATCCTATACCGCCTTGCTATTTTCAACAAAACAAAATGTTTTATCATTGGACTGATAATTAGAAGGGATTTTAGAGAGCATCTCCTTTCTTTCTGCAAAGGAGACGTTAGTCTTGAGCAAAGGTCACACAACTAAGAAGTATCAAAACTGGATTTCCAATCTACGTTCTCTGACTCCGAATCCATGATCTACTTAACCTCGTTCACCTCCTCTCGCACCCCAAAGCTGCAGCACCTCTTATCCCCCCGTATTCCTAAGGAACCAACGCGGCAACTAACACCGTCAGCAGCCTCCGCGTCCATCAATTCCTGCCAGGAGCCGTAGTCCCTCGAAGACGCGGGGTATGCTGGGATTTGTAGTTCTCCATCCTCGGCCACCACCACCACCCCCTCCCCCGACTGAGAAAGGTTGCCCAGGGCCCCCACTCACCTCAGCCGCCACTTCGCTTGCCATGGTCTTCGATGCACGAGAGCTTCCCCCTGGAAGAACCAGAAGCGCCGCCGCCGCTGCTAGCGCCGTTCCCTCAGACTCCGGGCCAGACGCCGGCCCCTACTTCCTCAGCCCCAGCAGCCTCAGCTCCCGCCACTGCCGTTCGAGCTTTCGCGCTCAGTCGGGGCTGAGGCCCCACCTCTACCGTTTCCGACCAATCCCCGCAGCACTCTTGCTGACGTCACGGAGATCCCACCTCCCACTTGGCTGCGCCGAGGGCTTGCTCGGGTTTAGCGGGAGGTGCTTGGCGCGCGCTTGTCTCCCCGCCCTTTGCAGGCGAGTCGCTGGGGGGCGCTCTCCCCGAGAGCTCCTAGAGCCCCGGGTCTCTGGGTGCCTGTAGTCAGGCGTGATGACCTTTGACTTTTCCCAGGATTGGGACTGCGCCCGCCTAAATTCGGCCAGGTGGCTGGAGTCCTGGAGGCGGTGGGTGTGATACTACCCGCACCTCCCGCCCAGCCGCGGGCCCTGAGGTAGTTTCAGCTCTGCCCCGGGCTCCTGTGGGGCCTTTCCTGAGTCTAGGGCCCTCTCTGTCAGGGCCTAACCCCTCCCTGACTTAGGGCCAACTTTGTGGGGCTGCCTGGGTTAGGGCCAACTTTGTGGGGCTGCCTGGGTTAGGGCCAACTTTGTGGGGCTCCCTGGTTTAGGGCCAACTTTATGGGGCCTTCTGGGTTAGGGCCAACTTTGTGGGGCTTCCTGGGTTAGGGCTAATTTTGTAGGGTTCCCTGCGTTAGGGCCAACTTTGTGGGGCTCCTAGAGCCTAGGGCCCAAATCCTGGGAATACCTGGATCACTGGGTTTAAGGCCTGCTTTATGCATTTTACTGTGTGTGTCTGAGGCCTGCTCTGAGGAGTCTCCCTTAGTCTAGGTTCTCTGTGGGGTCTTCCTGGGTCCTCTCTATGAAAGGCCCTTTCTTTGGGGACTTCTTCAGTTTTCCTGGGTATAAGGCTCTCCCTATGACCTGGGGCCCTCTCTTTGGAGGCTCTCTGAGTCTAAGCCTGATTTGTGGAGACTTCTTCCATCTAGAATCAAGTTCTTTGGGATCTCCCTGGACCTGGGGCCCATATAAAACTCTTAGACCCATTAATCTTTTAACTTTATGGTCTTCAAAGGATGGAAGTTGTCATTTTTCAGTCATGTCTGACTCTGTGACTCCATTTGGAGCTTTCTTGGCAATGATACTACAGTGTTTTGCCATTTCCTTCTCCAGCTCATTTTACAAATGAGGAAACTGAGGCAAACAGGGTTAAGTTACTTGTCCAGGGTCACACAGTGTCTCAGGCCAGATTTGAACTCAGGAAGATGAGTCTTCCTGACTCCAGGTCCCACACTCCAGCTGCCCCAAAGATTAGAAAGGTTCTGGTCAAACCACCTCTTTTTACCTTGCACCCACATTAGTATCACCAAAAGCTATACCTTTTATGTGGTGAGTGGTGTGGCCCACCTCACGTATAGCATGTGTGGAAGCCTTTGTCTTTTTAGATTTAGAAGCGGAAAACCAGGATTTAGATCCCAGCTTTGCTACTTTATTCCTGGGTGACCTTGGGAAAGTGTCTTCCCCTCTCTTGGGCTTAGTTTCTTCTTCAGAATAATTGAGGTAGGTGAGGGGAGAGGAAATCTGTAAGGACATAGTATAATTCTTATAAAATGCAATCATTGTTTTCAACATTTTATATTGTTAATTTTTGTTAGAGAGTTCGATCTGCAGCAGGGGAGGGCTTTGTGGGGTTTTTTTTTCCTTTTCCAGAGATGACTATAATGTAAAGACAAAATTCACTAATGAAACTTATTTAAAAATGATTAATTATAAGACGAGTGTTGGACTAGATGACCTTTCAGTTCTAAATCTGATGATTTTATTCAGGGTTAATATGAAACATAGAAGCTGCCTCTACTCCTCCAAGACTGTGAATTTGAAGTGTGGAAGCTGCAGACAACCTCAGTGATTCAGGAAGAGGAACTGTTTTTATGAGAAGGGTAAAGTATGATTCTTTGCTCAGAAACCTGGCAAAGCTAAGCAATAAAGTTTTGGGGTTTTTTTGCTTTCATCCCTAGAGAAGTACTGCCACCCTGCGGTATACTGATCCTCCTAAAACACCTCTTAAGATTTTTAGCATTTAGCACTCTGTAAATGCATTTTCTATTCACAATTTCAGCCAGCATCAAGTCAGCAAGTATAATTAAGAATCTATTATGTACCAAGGCTAAGTACTGAGATTATAAAGGCAAAAACAAGCCAGCATTGAGAATGCATTGCTTAGACCTCCTTTTTTGAAAGAACTCAGTATCCCTCTCCCGCCTTTCTTTACTGACACAAGCCATTCCCCCTGGCCTGAAATGAACTGCTTCCTCATTTCCCCTTCTTAGAATGTTTATCTTAGTTCAGGCTAAGCTCAGATACTGCCTTATTCCTTCCCTCACGTATTTTTATTGTATGTGGCAGCTTAGTGTATTAGAAGCAGGGCTAGATTTAGAGTCAGAGGACTTGGGTTTGAAATCTGACACTACAGTTTACTAAATTTGTGACAAGGGTCAAGGGGCCTTAGTTTACTCATCTGTAAAATGAAGAGATTGGAATGGATGATTTCCAAAAGTTCCTTTCAGCTTTAATTTTTTAAAATAAAATTTTGTTGACATTTTCTATTTCTTATATCACTACAATTTCCCATGTGTCCCTCCCCTGCCTCCCTGCTCCCAAAGAGCCATCCCATATGACAAGTAGTATTTTTTTAGATAGGAAAAAAAGGCACCATAACTGATAAATACATTAAAAAGGTCTGAAAACATGTGGACCTCCCACTTCCATTAAAGGATAGGTTTGGGGTGTCATCCCTCTTCATTTGAGCCCTTCTTAATCTTTATAATTTTGTTGCATTTACTTTTTTGCTCATTGTTCTTTCTATTTACATTGTTGTAATTACTGTGTATGTTGTTTTCTTGCCTCTGCTCAGTTCACTCTGTATCATTTTATATAGATCTTTCCATGCTTCTCTTTTTCCTCACATACATCATTTCTTATAGCATAGTGATATTCTATTACCTTCATGCACTACAATTTGTTTAGCCATTTCCCAGTTGATGGGCATCTGCTTTGTTTTCAATTCTTAACCATCACAAAACATGATGCTATAAATATTTTGGAGTATATGGGAAGTTTCTTCCTATCAGTGACTTCCTTAGGGTATAAATTCAATTATGCTGTCTCTTACTTAAAGAGTATGGACATTTTGGGCACTTTATTTGCATAATTCTCAATTGCTTTCTGAAATTGTTGTACCATTTCACAGTTCCACCTGTAATGTATTAATATGCCAATCATCCAGCAATCCCTCCAACTTTGACTGTTGCCATTTTTTGTCATTTTTGCCAATTTGCAGAGTATGACATGAAACCTCAGGGTTGTTTGGGTTTGCATTTTTTTTTTTATTATTAGTGATTTGGAGCATTCTTTCATGTGATTGTGAATACTCTGTAGTTCTTTTGGAAACTATTCATATCCTCTGACCATTTATCTATTGGGAAATGACTATTAGTCTTATATGTATTTATTAATTATTTACTTATCTAAGATACAAAACTTTTATTTATTTGATAAATAATAATTTCTTTGATTTGATGCAAGGATTTTTTTCTAATTTGACCACATCCCTTCTTATTCTGGTTGCATTAATGTTGTCTGAGCATAAGCTTTTCCATTTCATGTTCTCTCTTTTACTGTAAACACAGTATTATATTCCTTCAATTACTTTAGATTTTTTTTTTTTTTATGGTGGGCCTGTTCCCACTGACTCTCTTCCCCTCTGGTCTCCTCATTTGATACCCTTTCCCTTTAGGATTTTGTTTATTAGTTCCTTTTTCTCTCTTGCTTTTATCTGGTCATATATTTCTTTTCCTTCTTTTTTCCTCTCTGTCAAATAGTCTTCTTCCTCCACTCCACGTCAGCTAATTCTATCACTTAGTTTTTAAATTTCATTTTTGTACCCTTTTCCAAAAAGGATTTCCCTTACTCTCTTACTTATCCCTCTTTCTGTTTATTCTATACCCTCATTCTCTGATTCACAACCCCTATATTTATTGGCTCTTTTTTCTCTGTATTCTGCAGTCAAAGCTTCTAAAATATCCATCCCAGGATCTCCCTTCTAGGTGCTTTCTGCTACTGCCTTCATAGGAGTTGCCCCAAGGATTTCCCTTTTCAATTGTACCTTACTCTCAGAACACTGCTATTTATTGCAGGTATCAGAAAGTACTTTGCCCTGTGATAGGACCTGTCACCGAACCTGTGCCTGATTGTGCAGGTCACGATTGATGTATACCTTCTCTTGTTGATATTTTTTCTACATTTGCCTGGAAATCTCCTGGTGTCCCCATGCTCTCCCACTCCTCCAAGTGCCACTTGCTCCCAAGGGTTCCAACTTCCTCCCTCCCAGGACAAGTAGATTTTTTAAGCGCCAAATCCCAAGTATCATCCAGTGTAAGGTCTCATCTCCCTTCCCCAAACATCTCTCTTCACCCATAGGAGCGTTCATCAGTGGAACCCTTTCTCATTTCCAAAGTAAGTCCTCATTCCTTTCCACCCCTCTTCCTTCAGTCTTTCCCCCCTCCTCCTTACCCACTCCTCTATAGGCTCTTCTCTTTTTGAGACCACAGAGGTCACCTTCCCCTCATTGCTAGCCCTTGATTTGACCCCAGTGCATCACTTACTTCTCGATAACTCCCTGCTCCTCTCCTGCCTTTCCATGTACCTTCCCATGTTGTAATGTAGTTCCACAAAAGAAGTATTCATCTGTACACAATGTTGCTAAGTTCTGTCCATAATACCATCCGTCTACCTCTTCACTGTTACCCCTACCAGATTTCTGCCTTCACCCCTGTTTCCTTGTATACATTTATTAGAACATTCTTTCACTCCTGCAGTTCTGTTATTTGGGGTGTTTGAGAGGCAAATCTCTTCTGTTCTGATTTTCTTTCTACTAATGTTTGTAACTCTTCTTTATTATTGAATGTCCAGGTTTTATGTCCTCTATGGTTAAGTTCAGATTTGCCGGATAGGTTACTCTGGGCTACATTCTGAGCTCCATTGCTCTTCAGAACACATCCATTCCCTCCTCCTTTTTCTGGTGGGTACAGAACAGTCTTGCTTTGTTCAAATGTCCTTGCCTTTGTATTTGAAGGACCTTCTAATGCTTTGCAGATTTTGTTGTTTCTGAGTTGATTTATTAAATTTAACCACTAAGTGTCTTGGAGTTTGCAACCTTGAGTTTTTTGTTTGTTTCTGGAAGCAATCTGTGAATTCTTTTAACTGGAATTTCATTTTCTGTGTTTAGAAGTTCTGAGTGGTTCTCTTCTATTATTTCCTTCATTATAGTGTTAAGGTTTTTTGTCCTGTCATGTTCTTCTGGAAGATCTATAATCGTTGGGTTGTCTGTGTGGCCTGTCTTCGAGTTCAGTATGTTTTGCTTGCATAGTGAGCATGTTTTCTTTTACTATTATTGTTTTTTTGTTTCTCTTCTTCTAAGTTGTCCTTCACTTTTATGTATTTGCATTCCCAATCTATCATTCTCTCTTTTGTTTCTTTGATGAGGCTTGCCACTGCAGATTTTCTATTCTGTTCATTATTTTTGCTGTGCAGGACATAAATTCTCTCATAATTCTTATTTTTCTTTTAAACCACTGAAGAATAGACAGGGTCCTCCTGTGTCTCATCAAGTGTTGGCTCATTTTCTTTTAATTTGCCATATTTATTTATAGAGGCCTGAACTCATTTGCCAGATCTGGAGGCCATATTTCCTTCTGTGGTCACCATTTTTCTTGTTGATTTATCTGTTTATGTTCAAGATCTATGAGTTTTCTTCTTCCTGAAATCTTTGGTGCTTTCAGTCTCCCCCCCATCCTACCCTCCCCCACCCAATCTTCCTTATCACTCACTTTCTGACTCCCTCCCTTCTGATTATGTTTTCCTTGGGAGCTGCATCCCAAAGCATCTCAACCTTCTCCCACACTGGGCACTTTATAGTTCACCAGCTTAGGTGTTTTCCTCAAGCAACTTTTGGATGGTCACAACTGACTCCCGCTGGATGCTGTGCTCTTTCCCTCAGGCATGGTGGAGTGCTGCATAGCCTCCCACATGCATAGTGTCCTGTCCTAATGACCTGTCTTGTTCCCTCTGTTCCTTCATTCTCTAGCCAGCACTAGCTAGAGCAAACTTTTTTGCTTCTGAAGGCAAAGCTGGCTGTCAAGGCCTGGGCAAACTTCCACAGTCTAGAACTAAGGACTCTGTGGCACTGGAAAGGGGATGGGAGGAATGAAGTGCAATGAAGGATTTTGTTGCAAGACTGTGTCATATCCTTGGGTCTGCTAGCATGATCTTGCTCCTGGTAGTACAGGAGGTTGGGGAGGTCGGAAAGAATGGGCTCAGGGTCAGTGAGCATCAGTTCCTGTGGATTGAGAGTTTTTTCTTTACCTGCTTTTGAGTTCCCGATATTGTAGACCATGGAAAAAGCTGAGATTTGAGAGGTCATGGAGAGTAGAGAAAATGTCTAGTCTGCCATCTTGTTGCTCACTTGCAAGACCCAATAGCTCTTTCCAGCTTTAATTCTGCTACCTTTGAGGCAATTCATTGGGTAGATTATTTCCGTTCATTTAAACATTGACAGCGTTGTAGACAAAAAAAAGTAATACTACATTTGCCCAAAAGCACAATAAGGAATCTAAAATGTTTATAAATATTGGGCAAATAAACTAAAGTGTAAGGGTTTTATGGAGTATCCAGTAATTCTTTGCTTTTGAAAGAAACTTTTAGTCATATGATGCTATTACATTCCAGATTTCCTAGCAAAATAACTGCTTGTGCTCTAAAAGAACATCCAAAGCTATAAAACATAGGCCAACGCACTCTTTCCCCCTCAGCACTTATGTATGTGGTTTGTTTAGCTGTCTCTGTCTTTTTGTTTGTGCTCTATATTCCTTACTAGTTGTGC